CTGCCCGCCACTGCACCACTAAAGTGGCCAAGCTTGACGGCGCGTACAGGTCAATGAAGGCTGCCCAGCGGCGGCAGTGGCGGCAGGACGTCCCTGCCACGTGTACCTCGGCTCCCTGTCTCAGATCGCAACCATCCGCTCGCAAACATTCCGCCTTCGCGATGGGATCCCGCTTGGCGTGCGCAGCAGCCACGATGCCCGCCCTCAAAGGTGGCCGGTGGCCCTGCTCGCGGCACTCCTACTGCTGCACGCCTCGGGGACGCACGGTGAGAGGGCGCTGGGGGGGCCTCTGAATCGGGCGGGCGCCGGGCGTGAGCGTGGGCCGCGGGGTGGGCGGCCGCAGCGGCGATGGGGTGGAATTTGAATGCGCCGCCGGCCAAAACTCTCATGGTGCACGGAATATGCATACCCTCGCTGGTACCCGCACTCAGCGCCGCCGCCTTGCTCGCCCCTGCCTGCAGCAGCAGCTCAGGTGACTCTCTAAGGGCAGAGCCTGACCAGCCGCAAGGCGCCCGGCACTATCCCCGCCCACTTGGCCTGCCGGTCGACGCCGCTCGCTCAGCGGCGACCGCTTGCCCGCCTGCTGTCCTTGCGCCTCCCCACGCTAGCCACTCCACAACCCGCAGCAGTATAGCGCATCGCTCCCTGCCTCCCCCTTCCCCGCCCACGCTGCCCGCCCCCTGCCCGCCCCATGCAGCTTGATGCTACCGCCGCCGCCGCCGCCGCCGCCGCCGGCAAGGCGCCCTGCCCCAAGGGATGCCTGACCTGTGACCCCCTCACAGGCTCTTGCCTCACCTGCCCCGCAAAGCACGGCCTGAACAAGGCGGCGGTCAGGGCGCTGCGTGGCGGTGAGGGCTGCGCCAGCGGGTGTGGAGGGAGGCGTGGGAGCGGCGCCGCCTCGGGGCGCACGATGCATGCAGCCGGTGCCGCTGCGCCGCCGTACCGCTGCACTGCTGCCCTGTGTGTGCCTCGCACCTGCAGAGGCTCCTAGCCGCAACTGAATTTGCGACATGTGTCCACTCGCAGCCGCCGCTCGCACACCATCCCGTGCCCGCGGTCCAGCGCCCCTCCGGCTGCCGCACCCCCCCCC